ATATCAGTTTTTAAGCTATCAAACTTGACTTTATAAATTGTCTCTCTTTATCTGAAGTTTCTTTTTACACATTGAACAAGTTTTATCTTTCTGCTAATATAGTTATTTGTATTATGGAAAATCTTACCCAGGGAACTCTTCATCCTGAACTTTATTGTAAATAGAGGAAGCAGCTTTACAGAGAATTGATGATTTCCCAGATCCAGCTTCTCCTAGTACCAGCATAGGGACATCCTTATCCTCAATTTGGATGTAATCCTCGATCTTTATAAAATCAATTTAATTGTTTCAGAAATACAGATAAATGCATGTGCACTGAGCTATCATGAAAACAATTCAATGTAACTTTGAAAAAAAAAGAGAAGAAGAATTTTTCCCCCATTTATCATATTCAGCATTAACAACGGCTGTACAATTTTATTTGAATTAAAGCAATTAGCACAAAAGTTTCACATACACATGTTTTATATAAATATGTGCTTTCTATTTTTCATACAATGTAATTCTTTCTTCAGATTTCATGTATAAAGAAAAAACAATTATCAGTTTACATACTAGTATAGTAAGTTAAAAATTTCATCTATAAATCCACTCTGATAAAAGTCCTTCAATAAATTAGCCATAAAAAGCATTCTGAAACAGTAAAAGCTGAAGTCTTGATCTAAATTTAAGAGAATTCTTCTTCTAACTATATTTACTCATGTCTGAAGACTGAAATGTACTCAAATAGTTAAACTGCATTGCATATTAAGTTTAAAAAAAAATATCTGATTGAACAGTGATAATCTTCGGACACCTGCATTGTGTTCTGGCTTAAAAGTTAAACATCCTAGTATAGATTACAAAATATCAATGGTAACAAATGTTTACTTTTTTGAGTATGTCTTCTCTTCCAATGACATCTTCACTTTTGGTTTTCATGTACTCTAAATGTTCCAGTTTGCTGGGAATATCATCAGATAAAGAAAGACGAGGCTGTTCACCAAAATAGTCAAAGGAGATCCTTTGTTTGCAGAAATCTATGATCTGAGAAATACAGAAACATGAATAACAATTATCCTTTGCAATCACTGGGTATAGATCGAGTTCTTGGTGCAATCATGAATTAGCCGCTATACACATGTCAGTCCCATATATTGTATCTATCAAATGATTTCTAAGCGGATTCATAAATTAATGCATTGTTGTCTGCACCAAAACAGCTGAAAATAAGAAAATGAATGGAAAATGCAAATAATTAATTGGAATTTTTCCAAAGTTCAAGGAGCATAACTCTGTCCATAATGGCCTGATCTTCCCCTGAACAGAACTTGACCTAGATATTTTTATGATAAATCTGTATACCAAATTTCATTTCAATATGTGTAACCCCTGCAAAGAAAATGAACGTAAACCAATGATGGACCAACAGACAGACCGACCGACAGACAGCAGCAAATCAATATATGCCTTCCCTTCTTCGAAGGAGGCATAACAAAGATTCAAAATTCCTGCAAGTTTGGCATAACTAGTGCAAATAAATGTTGTATTGTAACGTTAATACTTGCTCTGAAATTTTCCACTGGGATACCAATGCTGGGTGTACATACATGTAGGATAACAGAGGATGATATCAATTAGTTGATAAATTCCCTGCCTTTTTTAAACGCCAACTTACTGTTTGTTTAAAGGAAGAACTGAAGTTGAGTTGAGGTTTTCTAGCAGTATTTCTGGAGATACCACAATATGTAGCAGAGTATTTAACAATTCTCTTTGCCTGCAAAACAAATATAACATGTAAACAGTAAAAAATTTAACCCATTCAATCAGGATACATATATTATGTAAAATGTACATGAAAAACAATCACAATCAGAGACGATTAAAATGTAAAATATTAAACTGCAGTTTTTTATCTTCTTAAGTCTGTTTTAAATTAAAATGATTTAGAAAAATACATTTACAACGAACAAATCAAAATTAAATGCTATTTGAAATTTTACATACTGGTATTTTTTCTGAGATCTTGTCCCCAAATAATTTGAGCTTCTCTGATGCCGTACTTTTCTTCAAGAAGTAACCGGCATCAGGTTCTGGAATCTGGCAAAGGAATGAGTCATCTCTGATCAAAAATAGAGCTGAAAATAAATAATATTCACATATTATAAGATTATCCCCTGATGAATGTGTTTCTTTTAAATTTGATTGAATCAGTTTATTAAAATAAATAGCATGAAATATTGATGATGAATGTGCTTTGTATAATTTGCCAAAAGATATTCCTTTGCAATTTTGAAATTTGCATAATATCTATTGGAATATCAGTATTTATACTAAAAGATGGAAAAGGGTTAAAGTGTTATAACAAAAAAAAAAGATGGAAAAGCAGGCTCATAAACACAGGGGAGGTAGAGGGAGTTGGGGGCGGGGTCTATTACTTTGCTGTAGGTTTAAAATTTATATTTTCATTTAGTATGCTGATTGACACCCCCCACCCCACCCCCCTAACACACTAATACTTGGGACCAAGCTCAAACTTCCAGATATATACAAAAATGATGATATAAAAAAAATTAAGAAAAAAGTGGTTGGGACTTTGACATATCTTCCTGCTATGGTGTACTAAAGTTATTGAGGTTTTCATAGATAACAAAGTCAGCAAAGTTAAATCTTATTCATGTATGAATATACATATACATGTATGTACCAGTATATTTCTTCATCACATATCAGTTATAGACACATAAAATAATTTCTATCAAATTATCCAAAAAAATTCACTCAAAAACATCTGAATAGAGGATAGGAAGCAATGTGTGCTTCAGAATTAAGCCCCATGTAGTACTGCAATGTGTGCTTCAGAATTAAAGCCCCATGTAGTACTGCAATGTGTACTTCAGAATTAAGCCCCATGTAGTACTAATTCATCAAATATCTATAGAAGTACATGTATAGATCCAACATTATGCTTTCATTAAAACAATTTCTGGATATCTTACAGTTCATGTTGTCCTGTCTGTATGCTGCCTTCATAACTTCTAGATCCTCCACTAACAATCCATAGGTCTCTAAAAAATCCTCCACGTCTTCATCTGGATACTCCTCCCACATAGGAATCCAACCAACCGACTCACTGAATCAATTAGGTCAAAGGTTAATTTCCCAAAATACATATCGTATAAGTTTATTTTCTTTTCTTATACAAATAAATTTTATCTGGTCATGAGCAGAATACAATGACTACATGTATATGTATAAGTAAAGTTCTAATTTGCATCTAATTAATATCTCAAGTTTTTCCAGATATGACTTTGACATCCAGGTACAGGATGTGATACATTTACTTTTATTTGTAATAAAACAAGAGTTACCATGTAATGTTAATAAAGATAGGCATTATACTGCTATGGTAACAGTTCTCTATGCTGGTCTGAGTTTTTTCCAGTTCATCCACATGTCGACTCTGAGGTGTTTTGGATCCCTTAAAGAAATAAATATTCTCTGAAGACAGAATTATATTCATACATGTAAATAAGTTTGAATTATCCTTTTTCCATCAAAAAAGAATCAATCTTACACATGATTATCTAATATACATGCTGGAAATGCATTACATGTAACATCGTAAATGTATATATTCACATACTTACCCATTTCACAAATCTTTCCTTTAATGTCAATTCTTTACTTTCACACCATGACTTTAATTCTGGCAAGACCTTGTAACAAATCCATGCAATATTACAATCAATATGTATTGTATTTTGCTATATGATAAATGATTCTCCCAGAACAAATGGCATACAGTAAAACTCGTTTAGTATGAACACTGATATTCCAATTCACAGATAAAGCGAAGTTTTCGTGGATCCCCAAACGTATAAATTTTATTAATCTTTTAAACGAATATAACAAATTACGGATAAAGCAAAATAATTTCACATCCCATTGAATTCATTATAACTGAGTTTTACTGTATTAAGTGTGTTTGCCAAATAGAAATTTGATATCTCCAGCCCTGTACAACATATTTTCTGAGACATAATATTTTTAAAGCTTTATTTACCACTGTATTTCATTCTTCTGACCATGATTTTTGTTATGAGTTATTCATTTTATTTTAAAAATGCATCACAGAAAATAAAATGACATACCTCCTGGCTCAAGTAATCTCTCTCCGAGTCAAATTCATCTGTATAGCTTGTAATGTATAGCTTGACAGATCTCTTCGATTTCCTTATATTTTTTCTGGGCTGAGGTGGCCCCCATGTAGCCATATCTCATTTTCAAATGGTACTTTAACCTCTGTAAGAAAATATTATGGAGAATTTTCATATTCACCCAATCAACATTTAAAGTACAGCTTAAGTGAAAACTGAAAACTCAGCATGCACTTAAATTATTGAAATTACAATGATTACCAGTAAAATTCTACATGACGAAAACAAAGTTGCATTCACAACAAAATATCTAGAATCACAAAAGACTGAAAAAGATATTTCAGATTCTTGATATAAAAATTACAACACTTTCTAAAGATCAAAAGGAATAAATAGACCATGCTTCATAATGCATCCTGGGACTGCAATGAGGCTCCAGCAGGGAAGACCGAGAGGAAATCTTACAGAAACATGGAAATGGTTTAAATAAAGAGAGAGAGGTTAGATATGTTGACCGTCCAATATGGGTCTCATGATGAGCAACAGTGGAAGACACTTGAAATGGGCTTTTATGCAAACCAGTACACAGAGGAGTACTGTCATAAGTAGAAATTTGTAACAAATAAATGGCTCAGCTAGTCTATCAATATGGAACATGACACCTGGTTTCTATATAATAAGGCTTTCATTACAAACTGATTTTGTTTGATGTACTTGAATGCTTCTTTCAAGGGGTATTACTTTAAATATCAAGTTCATTTTTTCCAAGAATAATCTACTACTGGGACACTCTACCAGAATCAATATCATTGGAGCAGTTTAAAACATCTATTCTGACCCCGACCCTCCAACCATAGAATACAGTGATTATACCTACCATGTATATCAAAACATACTTACAGTGACCTGTACAGTGTATTTATACATGTTAAGGAGTAATTTTTTTTACATTGGGATATTCCATTGCATGCATGAACATCACTGATAAATGTCCACATTGGATTTTCAGAGTAACCAAGTTGAAGTAATTTCTGATTTACATGTATGTGCAGTTGAACTTCTGTATCTCAAACACTGATATCTCAAATACAATGGATATGTCTAAGAGATTTGGAAATCCCAATCACTTATTCTTTAGTATTTTACCCTTATGTTGGAGTTGAAATCTCTAAATCTATGGATATCTCTGTTTTTTCTCAGTCTCACAGAGTTTGAGATAACAATGTTTGACTGTATTTGCATGTCATTGAAATTGCCCTTAGTTTACCTGTAAATGTATACATGTGTATGAAGGAAGATTAAGAGATCCATTGCTGATCAATAGACTGCAATGTCCGTATACAACCAAGCCTACACCAGTATGTCGAATACTAGATAATTCTGAGAAATCGTACATATGTTATCAAAACAAGGGGAATTAACAATATTTCAACATAATAAATATCAAAATTTCAGGAATACATAGCAATTTTAACATATCATGAATATAGTTTATGATTCATATGAATCCTGCTGTCAGGTTTCACTCGCGCTGCTTGGCCTTTTGGTATTGACATGGAATATTCCACTGTATTACATTTAAAATGTTCAGAAAAAATAATGTAAAGTAAAACATACATAAAAATCAGACAGTTAATAATCATGATAATTTCCAGCAATCTTTCTTGTTTACCTTTTTCTTCTTCTGCTACTTTGTGTATCTTCAATTACAGAAGAGTTCCGATATTCATCAGCTCAATCGGCAAAGATCGGTTTATGACGGAATCGGCCGAGAGACGTTTTTTTTTTTTGGAATATGAGAATTTTGGTTTGAAGTTTAATATGATATAATTATGTACCCACATGTTCATGTTCTTTTCTCTTTAAAAGTATTTTAACCCGAAAACAGTGTCACCTGCGCTGTGATGTTTTCGCTGCACTACTTTTTATGCGCCCGAATTGATACATCCGGGGCGTATATTGTTTTTGTCCTGTCTGTCTGTTTGTTTGTTTGTCTGTTTGTCTGCAAACTTTAACCTTCGCCAAAACTTTTGAACCATGAAAGATAGAGACTCCACTACATCTAATTAAGCACTTTCAAATGACAACAAGGTCAATGACCTTGTGACCTTTACTGTGACCTGTATGCTAAAAATAGTTTTTTCGTACCTTTGCCATAACTTTTGAACCATAAATATTAGAGACTGCATATTTAGAATGCATACTCCATTAATTAATCTCTTTCAAATGACACCAAGGTGAATGATCTTGTGACTTTGACTGTGGCCTTTATGCTAAAAATAGTTTTTTCGTACCTAAGCTATAACTTTTGAGTCACAAGAGATAGAGACGTCATATTTGGTATCCATATTTTACTAATCAATTTCTTTCAAATGACACACAGGTTATATTAATGACCTTGACTGTGACATACATGCTAAAAATAGCTTTTTTAGAATTTTGTTGCCGCCGGGCGCATAGTGTTTTTAAAACACATCTTGTTCAAAATTACGTTATTTGACTAAAATAAATAAATAAAATAAAAAATGAATTAAAAAAATAAAATGAAATAAATAAATTAAATAAAAAATAAAATTATTAAAACAACATGTATTTGTGAAACACTAACATGACTAATTCCTAACTGTTTGCATGGTATTGTCGACAGCTTTTGATTTAAGTTGCTCAACAAATTACCCCCCAAGCTCAAAATATTGATAATTAAATAAATGACTTGTTTCAATGAATATACCCGTGAAATATGAAATTCGCACTAGCTATTCAAAAGTTATTACCAAGTTAATTGTTTTTTTAATGGAGATCAAGGTCAAAAGACTAAAATTGTTGGGGTACCTGTAAAGTGCGAAACGAAATAGAAACGAAACGAAACGAAACGAACTGAAACGAAACGAAATCTGCCGAAACGAAACGAAATATGTATAACTATATATGTGTAACTGCATGTGGACTTTTTTTTTTACTTCAAACAGAATTTATATATTCATGCACTTCATAATAGAAAATTTAATTACCGGTATTTTATGCTCCCTTCTCAGTCTAATGATGTATTTATATGTTTGCCAGCCGCAAATATGCACGAGCGTACTATGCATGTACAATTTCAATATGTGAGTATTTTATAATTTTTACATCTTACTCTTATTTTCAGTCCTTATTTATCTAGATACAACATATCTATCCAAACTGATGTGTTACATGTACGTAAAGTCTCGTTTATGAACGATTCGAAATAAAGTCACTAAATACTGTTGTATTGCGAATGTCTTAAAACATAGGATAAACCAGAGACTTAGAGTATTTAGTATTCCATTCCGAGGTGTCTGGCTTTATTGTTCAATTATACATCTAACACCAACCGGAATCTTGTGTATCATTTCTACGTACATAAGGTCCTATTTTTATCGAGGTAATTTTCGAGGAAGAATTTGCAATAAGGAGGCTCGACCAGAGACGTCTAAAACGATTTATTTGACAAGAAAAGTCTCTCAAAGCGAACGATGTCATTTTTAAGTAGGTAAATTATTCAGTAAGATATTTAAAAAATATGACATAGGCGTCGGAAGCGGGGAGGGGGGGGGGGTAGGAAATTTGAATTGTTATATTACGTGTTATACACGTACAGATCCTTAGTACAGAGAACTTTTGCTCCAAGTCCTACTTAAACTCGTCAAAATCTGTAGAAGGATTTTTAAAAAATTCTGACAGACAGCTAGATAGACAGACTTTATATTGCATAACCAGCAGAGCTGAAAGTGGGGCTAGGGGAGAGACTGGAATGGAATCGCGTATAGTGTATGTCTGTGAGACAAATTGTCACTTGATCCATATTATAAGGCCTCAGTATGCATGAAAAATGAAGATTTGGTTAATACCAGGATTATATAAAAGTATATATGCAACTTCGACAAATATTATTTTAGAGCAAATGTTTTTATGGCACTCTGTCGTACGTATTATGCGACATCTGTACTTACAAATGGACCTATCTTAGTTCTAACTTTGATATATAGTTTTCGGTTTATATTCCCATTATGCCTTCTTTATCGACTATTTGGGGGTATAAAGTTTTTGTCCTGTCCGTTGACCGCCTGTCTTTCTAGCTGATTGTTCGCAAAAATTTTAATCTTTTCCATATGTTTTGATTAGTGGGAGCTATCATAATGATTTTCAGACGCGGATCTAGAAATTTTTTCAAAAAAGGGGGAGGGGGTGAGGAGGAAAAGAGTTATTATATAACGTACGTTTTACAATCATGGTTAAATAACTCCCACTATAGGATACAGGGTGGAGTAGGGTTTTTAAAAGTGGTAGGCTGATCAACCTGGGGGAAAAAAATACTTGTATGGTTTACCAGAAAGTTTTAGAAAAAGAAAGGAAAATAAATTCTATGGTAAAAACACAACAAAAATTCGGGACTTTCTTCATTCCTCATTTTGCAAATCCAAAGGGGGAACGTTTGATTTTTATTTTGTAGAAGAGACTATATTAAAACATTTCCAATACATTAAGGCTTTCTGATCAAATTGAAAATTCCCGATAAAGGTCACAGGTATAGGGTGCAAAGTAAAGCTAATAAGTAAATATTTGAGACACTTATCATATATTGATCTATAACTTAAGCAATGAGTTGTCATACGCACAGGTACTTGTGGACAGAAATACCACCCAAATAAAATTTATATAATAAATATAATTTGTGAAGAAATATCAAACAAGCCCCAGGTTTTTTTTTTTTTTTTTTTTGGGGGGGGGGGGGGGTCCAGTCCACAAATACCTGTGGTCATACGTGGACATCAGTACATGTTTCAAAAACATACTGTTTCTTCTTCAAATGCAGCTTCGCTAGCCAAGGGTTTCTGATACGCTACTTTCCTCTTGCTTATGAGGAAAGTAGCGTATCAGAAGCCCTTGGCTAGCGAAGATGCTTCAAATGAAGTCTTCTTAAAAACAAGGTGTGGCAGTCAGAGATATTGGATCATCAATGGCCAGATGGCTCTGTATGTAGCTAGAGTACTATACATGACATTATGGGCCCCTATTTGAATCTCAGTCTGGTACCTTTCCTGATCCATTTGGTACCATGCCCTGGGGGTGACAGGTGTTCAAAGACCTGACAAGTGAAGATCCTGCATTGGTGTCTTCCGGGGAGAGGATCTGAAAGGAAAGAGGCACGTGGCGGTGAGTCAGGTTTGATTGCCGGTGACCTGATACCTCAGTTGGTATAGAGCACGTGGCTGAAGATATAGGATCAAGGTCTAATCCATCGCTTTTTCTCATTTTCTGTCACGTACATTATGACAGACAACGGGAAAATAGGCTAGAATGGGACTCGAACCCGGCACTTGCTAATCGTCCGGGTGCTCTACAACTGAACTACCGTGCAGACATCCCAAATCCCAAATTACAATTGAAATTACGAAGCCCTTGGATGCTTAGCTGCAGAACTGTAGCTCTCCGAAAAAATATACATGTATATTGATAGACGGTCTATCAATATACATGTGTATATTTTTTCAAAAAAGCTAGTTCTGCAGCTATTGGATGCTCTGTGAAAAAATTTCATTTTTTCAAGCACTGCCTATATATGTACAGTCCCAACTAATTGACACACGCTACAATTGTGGACTAAATCTGAAAACCTGAATAACAAAAATATATTTTTCAAACGGTTTTTAATTTGATTTTGATGTTTTAGGTACATTTGCAGTACTGCAGAATAGCAAGTTTTATTCCTTCTTTACAAACGAATTATTTCCAGAACAACTAACACTCAACATACATGAATCTGGTGTGCCATATAATTCATTGAATTAATTAGATTTTTTTTTATAATAATGCAATATTTGAACAAGTATATGTACTTTTCAAGTTTATCCCAAAGTTCAAGTCCTAAGGTTCAGAAAGCCACAAAAAATGAAGTAGCTACCGGTATATTTCAACATCAATATTTAAAGCCTTTAAAATTATGGTACCCGTGTCTCAATATCAGTATATATGCAAGTCCATTTAAAAATTACTTTTTAAGACCTTACAGATAAAAAAAAATCTTTCCAAATAATCATGCAGCTCATTTTTAAATAAGTTTATATTACAGTTTAATTCAGTGTGTTATTAGTAAATACTTTCATTTAACAAAAGTAATTCAGTATACATGTACACATTTTTAGTACACACATATTCAAGTGACACAAATTAATATATTTTCATATCTTAGATCATACCTTCATCACACACTCCAGTACTATAACATTTTATTCCTTGGCATTAACATACATATGTTTAAAGAAAACAAGCATGCTCTTTTAAAAAACTATTGTAGTTATTTAAATTTCAACTATCACATTACTGCATTGAGACATGACCCATCAAAAGAGACAATCCACTTAGCGATAATGTATGTCAGGGCGACATTTGCTCTGCCATAACAATCTGCAGCTAAAAATATTTATAACTTATAAATTAAACTGTACCAAAATTATAGCATATTTTTTTATTTTAGCTGAACATTTAAATAAATAAAATAGAATTGGTCTTTACATCGACTTAGAATTAAAAAATTGTTTTATCAAAGATATATACATGTATAAGAGAAATTTTTATGCAACTCGAGTTTTAGTGCCTTTTGCATGGAAAGAATTAAATAAGATATCCATTTTTTTGAAAGTCATTACATATTTTAAATGATTCATCAATAGTATACAATGTACAAATATGTAATTAAAAAAAAAAAAAACAACTTTACTTCTATTTATAGCTACATCCATGTGGTTATCTAAACACTCGCTTGTTTCTATAAGATCATGTCAATCCAAACCTTGTTATACAAAAGATATCTTGTCCATTATAAACATTTATTAGTCTCTTTTGTTTAATTTAATTTTATACAAACAGGCAGATTTGATTTTTTAAAAAACTAAACAGGAATAATTCTGCTCGAAGAATAGCGTCACTTTTGATATTTGACTAAAACTCGCATACGGTCTCAAGAAAAAGTATTATTTAGACAGACTGCATCAAACAGATCTGGAAAAAAATTCCTTTCACTGCAGATGTAGCAGAGAAAATCCATGTCAATCTCCTATAAAACATTCCTCATGACAGCAGAGAAATGAAGAAAGCTTCAGGAAACATTTTAACAAAATCAGTGGTTATACAGTAACTTACTATAAAGTAAACAGCCACTTGCAAACAAACTAAAACCTTTGTTTTAATTAGACTATGTATTTTTAACATATTTTGGGGGGAAGTGAAAATTCCTCTGAATCTGTTTGTCTGAAAATGGATGCATTTATCATGTCATTTGACCGTTATATCTTACTTGTATGTGTTCTTATATATTTTCACGCATAATATAATTGACTATCTATGGACTAAAACCTTCGATTAGTTGCCGATGCAACCAGAGTTCATTGACATCCCTATAACAATGCAGTTAAAAACAGGCAAATCATATCACAGTCACTCGCATAGTCAACTTCTATTCACAAATGAACACATTCATTCCATCATTTTTCTTCCAATATTAATGTCTCTTGTGGGTACAACTTTAGCTCTTCTAAAGTCTTCATTTCATCTAACTGTGAAATCTGTAAACATTAAAATCAATATCTTAAACAATTTCTTCTTGATCTAATAATATGGTACATACTTGTATACTTATATCTTGGGAATCTGACTACCAGGTAGACTAAATGGAAAGAGCATTTCCTTTCAAGTAAATTCAACAGTTGCCACATTTAACAAAATAAAAATTTTATAACTGCATAATCTAGATTCATGTCAAAATTAATTCCTTGGCAAAATTTTGACATCATCTCAACTTACATCTCTTCTTGGAAAAGTTGTAAGAATTTTATAATCCTCTATATGAAAGCCCTCTGATGTCAGATAAAACAGGACATTTCTCAGTGGTTCCGAAGCCATAAATCGGCGAAGTTTCACATCACCGGTAGGTGTTCTAAACCTTAATCTAGAGACTGCTTCTGTAGAACTTTCTGGGGGTTCCTCTGGGATTTGCAAGGCTGCTGATTGCTGTATTGCCTACAATATATAGATTACAATGTAGTTCCTGAATATATTACAGTTTGAAATAAAGTGTCATTAAGTCATAAACAAATATAATATTAAACAGAGATGTCTTAATTATTTGTCTTTAGGTGGAAAAAAAATTAAAATCAATGTTATATTTTTAGTCATTGAAGTATTTTGATGAAAAAAAAAAATGTATATTATATATTTTTTAGCTTTTGAAGTCATACTTAAAAACTCAAAAGACCTAAGCTCAATTAACAGTTTGAAGAATTCTTGAAAAGTAGTTATAGGTCAAAGGTCAATGTTAAGTGGACCATAAAGCTGGTCTTACTAAAAGCTGCACACATGTTAAGAGCCAGTCCGCGAGAAAACCATGCAAAATTCAAAAAATCGTCCAAATGGAAGGTTGCAACTTGGGAATTTTAAGTGGCTTAAAATTTTCTACATAAAGGTAGAAGTCAGAATATCCACAAAAAAATGTCGAACCCTGCATCTATTTTTAGTAACAGCTCATTTGCATATTTGTCGAAAATCACACAAAATTTAATGGAAAATGTATACAAATTGATCAAGTCAAAAAGTTACCTTTTGTCATCAGTTTATTTTCAAATTTTGTTTTATTTTCATAGCCATGGTCTAATTAACACAATTAATGAAGAAAAACTTAATTCAAATGAATATTTTATTTTTTACCTATCTATTTATAGATCCTAAATAAATAAGTATGATTTTTTAGCCATTTTTAGATGCTCGTTTCTCTCAAGACCAAGGTTGAAATTAAATTAAATTAATTGTTACTTTAAGAATGATCTAACCTCTACTCTGTATTAAAATATTGAGCTTGGGAAATAATATCTACATGTTGTAAATTAACTTTGAAATACCATATTTTGTTACAATTTCACATATTTTAAATAACAGTCTTTTACCATATTTTTGGATTATTTCTATGATATTTAAATGAAAAAGAGAAGATTCCTAATCTAATATATTTTTTAGAAGTGGAATAACTGATTTGGATACTTCTTTTTACTTTCTTTTGCTTATTTTAGCCCCTTATTACCAATTTGCTGGAGTTAAATTGTTATCTCCCCTTGTTGGAACTCTTTTGTATTATTGGGTAAAAAGTGACAGGTATGTCAATAGTCATGTATGATCATTTTTTCTTCACCTATGGAGTTGTTGTGGAGCATTATTGCACTATGAAAGAGGGAAAACTTATTTTTAAGATATTTGAATGTAAGAAAGAAACAACAACTTAGCTTGAATAAACAAATAACAGGCCCATAGGAAGCAATTTCAGAGTGGGGGAGGGGGGACAACCTACATTATCAACTACCAAGAATTCCATGTAGAAAGTAAAAAAAATAAAATGTCATCAGGTGTTTTTTTTTTTATTTGGGGCATATACATGTACTTAATGTAGTAGCTATGTTTTCTATAGGGTTCTGTCCCCGGGGAACCTACATGTCTTTCATGGTAATTAACAGCTACAAAATTTTTCCTAACAAGTACACTTGAAAGTTGAATAGGAAATTAAATCAAATAATAACATATTTTTTATCAAAATATACATTTATTCACTCAAACCATTTCAGGTGTATGAGGACGATGAAGAATATTTACAACATATAAATTCAGGTCAGAGGACAAGTATATGATACCGGTATACATAATCAGAATATGAAAAGGAAAAGAAAAACACATATGAAATAAGCGAGAGGAAAATGACTAACTAAAATCATATATTTTCCATATAAAAGCACATAGTTTTCTTAGTGTCTTAGCAACTTGTTTTGTCATCAGTTGAGAAAATATAAGAATACAAACAGGTATTTGATTGCATACTCTCAACAAATTCAAAAATGATTGGTAATTTCAATCTACATGTAAATTGTTTACGTTTCATAAATTTAGTGTGTTTTTGAGTTAACCAAACACCGTCATTCCTAGGCATATTTTTAATTTTACATTACATACTTTAAACTACTGTGTTACGTAACATTCATATATTGATAAAGTCAGATTTCCCATTAAAAATTATCAGCTCAAAAGGAGATGCCACCGATTTAGGTACCCCACCAATATAGGACCCTCCACGATAAATATTGGCAAAATTATTCGGGGGTTGGAGGGTACTACCCCCCCCCCCCCCCCCAAAGAAAACGTGAGTCGTTACTGCAGCAGAAACATCGCTAGTTTGCTAAAATACAAAGTGGTAAAAAATTAAAACCGGCTATAAACATGATAAAAGACTGGATTCATATTTATTCAAATTGGGGGTGGGGGGTGGGGGAGGGGGCTATCAAATTTTGTCAAAATTATTTTCAGAACATTATTAATAAAATTGTATAAGGCTTTGTAAATTAATATTTGATACTTTTTTTCTGAATAACCATGATGGTATTATTAAGACATGTACCATTGCAGACAGAGATAAATTGTTTTTTTTTAAATGTTATACGTAGCCACTGAAAACAGTTGGGGGAGGGGGCGTATCAGTCGATCATGGTCAGGATATTAAATATACGAGTGTATCTAGTACCCAATCATTTAACCCCATCCACCTCCCCACAATTTACATACTAATATTGAAATGGATAAAATAATTAAAAATGATAACTAGTAGGATTCTGGAGGGGTGTTGCTAAAACGAGGAACGGAAAACGTATTATTTTTTTTTAATTTTAGATTAAATCACCTTAAATACACAAATTTATAAACAATATACATGTATATTTTATAAATTCAATCCCCCATTATTTAAATCAAGTTGATTTATTCATGTTCATAAAATCTTTTATTCACGAAAATCGCAGTCATAGCAGTGACTTCGAAACGATTTTGAAAGGGTCCGGGGGGGGGGGGGGGGGGGGGGGGGGGGGTTAAAATTAAACTTACCTGAAAAGAATTTCCCAAGCGAAAAAAGAAGACAATTGTTTGATTCGGGAGGTGGGATAAGAGTAAATTCCAGCATCTTTCATTTTCTTAAACTCTTTTATGGAGTTTTTTGTATAATATCCCCTGTCAGTATTTTTATAAGATCGTACCAATTTAAAATTGGCAGAAAGCAAACAACTAGCTGCAGAACTGTAGCTCTCTGAAAAAATATATAATAATAGACCGGAGAGCTACAGTGCCACCCATTGAAAAAAACTGTATATATTTATTGCGCACAAAAAAGTGCGCTGTTTCTCGATTTATTTCTCTGTGTTGATGAGCAAGCAAGTTGATGAAACAAGAAAATCAGCAGTTTTGTTTAAAGTCATCATTTCGAAAGTTCTATGGTCGATACAATGACCTTGTCAGCAAATACAATTTATCACAGCTGAGTCAAATGCATGCTGACTGACTTTTTTCATACCAATTGTTAGTCCATTATTTATACACTGAATTGACGACGGATTTTTTCCGTTATTTCCTGATCGTGACAAGGAACAAAAGGCGGGTGTGACCGGTCGGCAGGGGATGCTCACTCCTCCATGGCACCTGATCCCATCTCTGATGTTTCGGGGGTCCGTGTTTGCTCTTATTTTGTATTGTTTTATGGACTTTGAGATTGAATACTGTTCGTTGTCACCATATCCTTCTTAAAACTGTCATCTCAAAATTTTACCAACCGTGTGTTCCTAACATATTCTTTCACCGTTTCCACAAAAACATTCCTTAATTATTTCTAAAAGCCCTCCTGGACCTGGAATTGAGATCATCTAAAATTTCGCCTATTTATACTGCCATTTTGGTTTGCAAGATAATTCGGTCCAACGCGCGTCATACAGATGTAAACCACGCCGTTAATTGATAAAGGAGTAAGGTCTTTATTGGAATCTAGCTTTTTTGCAATTGAGGTAAGAATTTAGAAGAATTAATCCAGAACCGAGCGCATTTTTTTGTATATATACATTTTTTCAATGAGTGGTACTTAGGGCTGGGCAATAATATCGATATTTCAATATATTGCAATACAATGACAAACAATATCGTATCGCAATACGATTTTGTAATATCGATATATTGGCAATATGCTTAGATTAAGAAATTTTGTCATTAAATATAAAAATGGACTTATGAATGTTTGTTATTAAGCCAAACATTAAGACAGAAGTTGTTTTGTGGGAGCATTTCAGAGCATAACTTAAAGAAATCAACAAGATTTTTTTTCCGTGTAGGTTATTTATCTTGGTTATGTACATTCTGCGTGTAAATTAAAATATTTACATTTGCAAATGTTTTCCGTTATATAACACTACTGAAAGCAAGCGTTTTTATAACTGTATAAATACAGGTACAGGGTCAAGAGGTCATAGATGTTCGTATGGATAAACGTTCGACGTAATTTCTCTGTGACGTCATAAAGGGTCGACGCGCGGTCAGTGGATTACATACATGCCGTTGGGTTTGAAAAATAATGCATTTCACACGTTAAAAGTCACAATCAGGCAAGTTTAAAGTTTGAATAAGTCACAAATATAAATATAAGTAATAAGGTATCATTTTTTGAGTGTTATTGGGATGTAAAACGGGTTGGCACATGATCAAATCTTCCATAAAGCCCTTCGGGCTTTATGAGATTTGATCACGTGACCAACCCGTTTTACATCCCAATAACACTCAAAAAATGATACCTTATTTCTTAAGTAAATATAGTGAAAAAATGCCATTTTTATTACGTTGAAAATATTGCAATACATATCGCAATACAGTTCAAAATATCGCAATATATCGCAATACGAAATCTCCGGCCAATACCCAGCCCTAGTGGTACTGTAGCTCTCCGGTCTTTCAATATATATTTTTTCGGAGAGCCACAGTTCTGCAGCTAGCAAACAGCTTACTGAAGGCTCAAATTTTATATGTTCAAATCTCAAAATTTATATGAATGATACTGAGTCCGTTTGAATTTAAATACTTGTAATTTCCCTTTTATTAATTAAAAAGAAACTAACTTACAAAATGTAAGGAACATATATATTCATATGATTGTTGAAAAATTGCAAGTAAGCCAATACAATTTATTATGCTTTTTTTCATTTCTAAACAATTGGCAAAATGCTAATCCTCATATTGGGGGTAATTTCTGACAATTTAGTTTTATTTAATTTTTAATTTTAATATTTTTCAATCTTAATTATTATTTCAAAGAAAATTGTTACATGTTTCAACATCTAACAACAATTGTTTATAATTTAAAGTACTATATTAGGCTTTGTAACCCATTTGAGTTTGAGCAATTTTTTCGAAAATTGGTAATTTGTAAATCCCCATATCTCAATTATTTATTATTTCCCAAGCTCAATATTTTGCAAAGAAAATGTTTAGAGTTATATTTGTACAATAAAATCAAAAAAATTAATTTCAAAGATTGGTCTTGGAAGATTTTGGGCATTAAATTTGTAATACTTTTGGCAATTCTTGAAAATTGGCATTATGCCAATTTTCAAGAGTTGTCTGCCCTTTGATATATTGCATATTTGATTATGATAAATGTCAATTTTGAAAGAACATAGACTTATGTTACTTAAAAATACCTTAATGGAAATGCAAGTTTAATTTTGAGTAAAATAAATCAAATGTGAATTTTACCATTTTTCTTGAAATTTTTTAGTGCATTTGCACTTAAATGTGCAAAAAGGAGGTGGCGCTGCCTTCGGCTGCCATGTTGAATGATGGGAATTTTTTTGGTCATTTTTTAATAACATATCATAAAGTCTAACTACCCACCAAATTTCATTAAGATATGACAACTTTCGATTTGGACAGTTCTGCATGGTTTTCTCGCGGACCGACTCTTAAAAAGAAACAGCATACATTTGCTTTGTGTGACAGAATATTTAGTTTTGAGGTTGAGGTTTATGTTCAATCTATTTGTGTCACATTCTCATTGACACACCTACTCTGCTCTAGGAGCCATGTTTAGAATAAACTTTGTCCTACAATGAATTTCATGCAGTATTCTTCTCGACCAATGAAATTTCACGATTTTTATCAGAGGCAGGATAATGGAGCATTTGGGTTTACCATTTTCCTCTCCTCTTCCTCTCTCTTCTGTCTCTCCTCCTCTTCCTGTTTCTTGATCTCCAGCTCCTGCTGAATCCTTTGTTCCTCAACCTATGTGTATAAAGAAAAATTTAATTCACTAATTCTTATCATTACCCAAAGCAACTGCAGAACTGTAGCTCTCTGGTAGGGCAAAATATGCTGACACAACACTTCTAAGAATAGCGATCCTTCCATTTATGACACTGCTATAAATTGCAGGCTTTGGGTATTTTTCTCTTATCACATCCCCCTAAATATCATGTTATCTGTTAACCAAATTGTTGATTAACCATATTTTACACCTAATCATGTTACTTTATTTATTTCTAAACAGTTCTATATGGCCTACAGATCCACAGTCTTATCATTTTACAGAACAAAAACAGAGATCCATATAGTGAGGAGAAAACATTCACAGTTTCTTTACCCCTCCCTCACCTTCTTTCTGTCAGCAGCTAGTGACTCTTTAAATGCTTCCTCCTGCTCTCTCCTTATAGTGTCCCGAGCCTCTCTCTCTTCCTAGAAATTCATTCATAATATCATATGAAAACCCTTAGCATATCACTTTTGTTTAAATACACATTACAACTGTATTTAATCACACAGTTATTCCATTGAAAGTTATAAAAAGATTTGAAGTTTCACATTTCATGATTAAAAAGCTATGTAAAATTTATTAATAAATTGAATCCTGACCTCATCTTGGATATCTATCCTTTGCTGTTGTTGGAAGCTTTCTGAATCATGAATTAATCTTGTCATAAGTTCATCTAATGTTACAGACCCTACAATGTAAAATAACAGGTTTGAAACATATGGTTTAAAATCCTTTCATTTGTAATATAGTAATGTTCCTTGCAGTGTTGCCAAAGCAACTGAATTTATTTTGGGTTTTCACCATAAAACAGTCAATGGTCTTTTTAAGTAAAACATCCAAAAGAAAGGTGTGGTCTCCTATACGCAAATAAGTACTATACATATTAAAGTGTACACTAAACATTGTCACAAACCTGGAATCATATCTATAACTTCATTTGTAGCTCTCGCTCTAGAAATAACTAATAACATAGGCAACTGCTCTGGTTTAAGACATCTGATCTGTCCAGCTACTACATTACCAAAATGTCTGGTAGCCATTGTGATGAGCCTATAAACAAAACATGAAATGCATTATAAACATGTAATTGTACACTTGTGCAACTTTATCAGATTTTATATACAAGAAAAAGAAATGCCTACTGGGTACTGTTAAATTGAAATACATGTATATTAATTGTGTTACCTGGCACAGTTTGTCTCATGTGTCATATCCCATGCCCAGGTTATAAAATTACTGCTAAGGTAATTAACCACACTGTCAGAACACAGGATTTGGGAACAGAACACATTAGATATAAATACTTCCATCATGATGGAGATACACAGCCAACAATTTTCTCTGTTGAAAAAAAAAATTATTAAGAAGATGGTCATATATCGTACATGTACATTCATGTACATGTATTTATCCAAATGGACTTGATTTTTTTTTTTATATACTCTTAGGCTCAAATGCAGGTAGCTTTAGAAACAAAAAATCAACTGATGTACTTAATTACTCAAGCATTGTTAGAAAAACGGAAATTTACTTACATCTTTGGCTTTACCATTTAGAGCTTCTTTTATTGCATTTTCTAAAGAACCAACATAGAATACTGGATGTGTTTCTCCATATCTGAAACAAACAATCAACACTATAAGAATGTTTCAAGAGAAATAAGCCAATATGCATTCCTTTGAATGCATTAGCTGATACACATACATTGTATTTTGTTTAAAATCCTCAATGTAGTTTATTATACCTTTCTCTGAATTCTTTGGTAAAGTGTTCTAATGCTTCTACCTCATCATTTACAGACTCAGGCACTGAAATTTACAGTATACTTATTACTTCAAATTGTTTCATTAAATGATTTACTAAAGAATGAGGGTGCATTTCATTGTCATTCAGCAAGAACCTGGGTACACTTGAACAGTGAAATTTTTTATTGATCCATCTTGATATTTTAATATTTTATTGATATATTGGATAGCTTGTGAAATATTTTCCAGATATAGTGTTCTGATTTGCCCTGAATATGGCTGGAGATGAATCAAATGGAATAAAATGTAAACATTTTTAAACATGGTAGTTTTTCTTAAAATTAATTAGTCTAAGTCACCTCTCCATAATTTTAAAATGTTATTTACATATATCCATTTTAATGAAATGAAATGAGCAAAAATGGAAAGAAGATCAAGAGCCAATAAAAAAACAAGAGGCCCAGGGGCCACATCGCTCACCTGAGCAATTGGCTAGGAAAAAGCACATATCAGATCAGAACTGAAAGTTTACTGAGGTGTGTGTGTGTTGGGGGGGGGCTTGAATTTTAACCCCCAGGGGGTCATGATTTGAACAAACTAGATTCTACACTACCTGAGGATGATTCCCTATAAATATCACTATAAGCATAGCTTTGAAGTACTTGAAAAGAATATTTTAAAAGGATTCCCTATATATTCCTATGTAAAAATTTTATCAGCCATTTGGTCCCACCCTACCCCCGGGGGTCATGATTTGAACAAACTTGAATCTACACTACCTGAGGATGATTCCACATGAGTTTCATCTTTCCTGGCCCAGTGGTTCTTGAGAAGAAGATTTTTAAAGATTTTTCCTACATAGTCCTATGTAAAACTTTTATCAGCCATTTGGCCCCACCCTACCCCCAGGGGTCATGATTTGAACAAACTTGAATCTACACTACCTGAGGATGATTCCACATGAGTTTCATCTTTTCTGGCCCAGTGGTTCTCAAGAAGAAGATTTTTAAAGATTTTTCCTATATATTCCTATGTAAAACTTTGATCGGTCATTTTGGCCCCACCCTACCCCCGTGGGTCATGATTTGAACAAATTTGAATCTACACTACCTGAGGATGATTCCACATGAGTTTCATCTTTCCTGGCCCAGTGGTTCTCAAGAAGAGGATTTTTAAAAATTTTTCCTACATAGTCGTATGTAAAACTTTGATCGGCCATTTTTGCCCCACCCTAACCCCGTGGGTCATGATTTAAACAAACTTAAATCTACACTACCTGAGGATGATTCCACATGAGTTTCATCTTTCCTGGCCCAGTGGTTCTTGAGAAGAAGATTTTTAAAGATTTTTCCTATATATTCCTATGTAAAACTTTGATCGGCAAAACTTGAATCTACACTACCTGAGGATGATTCCACATGAGTTTCATCTTTCCTGGCCCAGTGGTTCTTGAGAAGAAGATTTTTTAAAAAACGCCATTATTTTTTCTCTAATTCATAATTATCTCCCCTTGGAAAAGGGCATGGCCCTTCATTTGAACAAACTTGAATCCCCTTCACCTAAGGATACTTTGTGGCAAGTTTGGTTGAAATTGGCCCAGTGGTTCTTGAGAAGAAGATGAAAATGTAAAAAGTTTACGACGATGACAACGCCAACGACAGACGACGGACAAATTTTGATCAGAAAAGCTCACTTGAGCCTTCGGCTCAGGTGAGCTAAAAAAGAGAGAGAACTTTTTAAAGCAAAAAAAAAACCTTATCATACAACTGCAGTGCTTGATCATTACATATTTTCGTTTTACATGTACTTACTCAAAGGTGTAGGTCTTCCTCTGCTTGGAATATCATCGTGGTCAAACATGTCATCTTCCATTGGATTTAGATCATCATCATCATCACTGATTTCTATTTCCTGTACCACCTCCTAAAAATATCAACATACATTTCATTAAACATAATAAGCAATAATTTGGTTAGCTGGGTATCATAGTGACCAATTTTTTTTTTTGTACAAAATACACAGCAAATACTTGACAAAAATGTACTCACATTAAATGGCACCTTCTTAGGTCTTGCTGTAATGTTTGCTTTTGTAAGCTCTAAATTATGGATGGGATAATTCAGACCACAACAGCCAATTGTCATCTGAAATTAGAACACATGGCAAAATGGATATAGTACTTGTAAATAGAAAATATATACATATATATATATATTAAGTTTAAATGTTCTATAACACTCATGATTTACTATAAGTTTTCATTTATGAATACAAGTCTTACTGAGTCATCATTTTTTGCAGAATCAGGCCACCCTGTCCATATCTGATGTCTTGCTGGCAAGTTTGTGAGGGCATACACATCACTTTTTACCTGTAGATTTTATACAGCAAAATTCTTTAAAATGTCACTAGCAACATATTTCAAGATATCACTATTTACCTGTAGATTTTATACAGCAAAATTCTTTTAAAAATGTAGCTAGCAATATATTTAAAGATATCAATATCATCCAATCAGACAAAACAAGATTTCGTCCATACAGAAAAACATTGAAAAAATACAGATTCATTTATTTTTTTTTCTAGTTTATTCAAGACAAAGATATCTACCTCTCCAATAGTTTTACTTCCAGGCATATTCAACTTATAATGCTGCACTTCTCCATTTTCTGTGAAATTAATATGCAAAGCATATGTTCTATTTAGGGCTTCTGTTAAACTGTAATTAAATGAAACCATAAAAAATGACTGTATTAGAATGCATATAATCATTCCTTCAATATATTTTTATTGCTAAAGATTCTGATTACAGTGTTTTCCCTAAGAACTGGCTACCGGCCAAACTGACCACTTCAATTGACAAAAATGCCGCTTCAAAACAAAAAAAGTAAGAAATTAATTGTCGTTAGGTCCACAGAGATTTTGTTCAAAGCCTGTTACAACTGATCTCTAACCCTTTACTGTGAAACAAAGGGAAAACACTGTGATTATATAATAAGATTTGCATGTCTTCACTCACCTTTCCATATCTACATCAACTGTTGGTTTGACAAGTGTGGGATTGGAGACATCAGGAGTCAATAAAAATAAAGTGTTCTCTTTAGGAAGATGCAGATCTCTCAGAATTTTCTGTAAATAGTAATTAATTCTTGAAAATAACAGTGGGTCATTTAATGAGTGTAAAATTTGGCATTTTGCGGGCTCAAAGGTATACCAATATTTTTGTAGATCTTTATTATGCAAATCGACTCAATGTTCTATGAATTTTCATATCAGTAACATAACAGAAGAGTACTTTAGATAACAAAGATTTGGAAATAAAACCTCATTTATATCATCATTTCAATCCTAGAATTATATTAATTTCTATAAATCTTGGTCAAACTTCGCACCTTATATAAGGAAGGTACAAGTTAGAATGCTCCAAAAATTTTAACCAAAAGTGACACTAATGATCAGATAAAAACACACGTTCTCCTCAACCTCCTAGAGCTGATCTAACACCATATCACACTCCGATATCTTACATCATCCTCCACTCTTGTTTTCCTGGTACTCCAGCCTCTCAAGCTCTGTTTTTCTGGAGACACTCCAATTTTCTGAGACAGAAGATCTTTCACTTTGCCTGGAGTAAAATGATAATACAATACACATATATACATTGATAATTTTGTCTATAGATAAATGAATGATATACCGATTCCAACTGATATCATATTGTGTACAGCTATTTATAGAGAGTTTCGAAAAATACATGGTCATTACCAATTTTTTCATTGTCCCCAACACTGAAGTAAAAATTTTGATCTCTGTACTCCACTTTAAAATTTAACATCCTGGGTCTTGGGCCACCTCCTGGATGTCTTCGCTTTGGGGATGAATTACTTGTGGAGGGGATGGCTACATTGCATTCTGATGCAGAACTGGGGTCAAAAAAAGCCCTGGAGTCTGCAATGTTGTTATCATTGTCTGGCGAGGACGCAGAATAAGGAGGGGGGCTTATGTCCTCAAAACCTGAAGGAGGGGGCTCCCCACCAGTTGGGGACAATCCTCCATCAGATCCTGGCATTACACTGTTTACTGCTCTCTGTTACAATAATAAGCACTTGTAAAATCAGAACAAAAATCAAAATAAAAGTAACAAAAACAAGTTAAAATATACCTTTTAATCATGTTGTTTTTAACTCACATAATGAATTATAATTATCCTCATCATCCTTTTGAAAACATTGCAACAATAATAAATAACTTGATGTAAATATGTTTTCAACATACCATTAAATTCCATTCATTTGACTCCAAGATTTGGATGCAAGTATCAATGTCCTCCAAGGCTGTAAAAGCCTAAAATACCAATATTATAATAGTCTAGACATGGACATATATGTGTATTATTAGAAGGGAAACTTCAATATTTTTATTACATGTATTATCATACATATTTTATTAAAAACGAAATTGCCTGTAACTTTTGTTGTTGTTTTAATCCTTGTTCGACTCTTATAACCTGTCAACACACACTAAGCATTCAAGTGGGATGAATTCCTTAAATATTTTGAACATTATGTCTGTTAAAATATACTCCGGCTTGTTCATGATAATAGTAATTGCACAACAAAAATACCCTGACCCAAATGATTACTCCCGATCCACATCCTGAATTGTTAATAACTTAACACATTAATAAATAAATAAATCCCTGCATGTGCTGATCGTTGTTAAGATGCTTTGAGACAAATATTTGTTTTCAATAATAACAGTCTACAGATCTGTTATGGAGTACATATATGTAGCTCAGTTAGAAAAAAGCATGTCAAGGTTTTTTTATTTTTTTTTACCCTTCCATAATCAATTACCTCAACGCTTTTACGATATAAGAATAATACAGTTAGTTACGGCATGGAGTTAAACAAAAACACACAAAGTAATACAACACGATGTACAATTATATCTCATCTCTGCATGTACATTCTGAGGCAGTAAACTCATGAATACAGTGTGGTGAAACGTTCAACTTTGAAGAAAAATGTACCATTCAATGATTATTAAGAATGAAATGTATACTACTGGTAGAAAGACTTGTGTTACAATGTTCCATTAAGACATGCTTTATGTGGTTCAACTGACAAACAGCCTCAATTTATACCTGAAATTCAGCAAGTATTCGATCTCGCTCGCCTTCTGCCATTGTTGCTTAATTTGGATTGCGCATGCCCAGTAATATTTACTTTTTACATCCGTTACAAAATGAAAATAAAGAAAAGAGAATTTGTAGCCTATATTTTGATATAAAAACGGTATGGATCTTTTTAATTGCAAGGAAACGTTTATGAGAAGTTTAAAATATTTACATGACCGAAAATAATATTACACTAAAAATAGCCTCACAAAGATTACGTAAGCGCCAAAATTAACTTTTTATAGTAAAGGTGTACTTGAGAGTGCATCAGCGAGAAGCAGACGAATACAGGTGCTTCTTTTAGGAGAGTATCTTCTGTTTCGCAGACACTTGACGTAACGTCTAATTATTTCTGCCCTTGGGATATTGATAAGTTTTCGTTAATTAATTTTTACTGTTATACATGTTATATTCATAGTTTTATATGGTGTCCGGATAGGGCCATTTGCGTTAGCGCGACATCGCGTTCAGATAAACGAGACATCGCGCTAACACACAACACGCCGTCGCGCTAACGCAACTTTGCACAACACGCCGTCGCGCCAACACAACTTTGCACAACGCGCCGTCGCGCTAACACACAACACGCCGTCGCGCTAACACACAACACGCCGTCGCGCTAACATAACTTTGCACAACGCGCCGTCGCGCTAACACACAACACGCCGTCGCGCTGACACAACTTTGCACAACACGCTGTCGCGCTAACACGGCTTTATCTGAACGCGATGTCGCGCTAACGCAAATGGCCCTATCCGGACACCATAGTTTTAAGATTAAAAAATTGAATATTTACCATCCTGGTGCTCGTAACATAAAGCTTGCTAAGTTTTTGACTTAAGTAGGGTCGTAAGTACTGTTTAGGCACAATCTTAGGACCTGTCTAAGTACTACTTAAGTATGTCTTAAACCGTAACATAAAGCGAACTTAGCGAGGTCTTAGCTAAGTCAAACTTATGTTAAAAATATTTCATATGAGTCAACCTATGGTTTTTGATTTTATATAGATATATTGCTAAAAGTGATTCAGTTAGGGTTTTAATTAATTACATATTAAAGTTGACGTCCTTGCCTATCGGTTTAAGTCATGTTAGATTAGATTTCTTATTAAAATTATAATTATACATGTTATAAATTATTCGGAATGTTTGGAAACAAATACCGCACGGTCAGAAAGTGGCGATTTGTGGTTCATTGTAAATGTACGACAATTGTTTTATCACCTGAGATGTTTTCAGTTACCTTTTGTAACTCTTGTGTTTTGACAAATGTTCACTTACCCTGTTATTATCGCAGACAAGAAAAGATAATCGACCATCTATCTACTTAAACTTGAAAGTTCAATACATGTTGAATTCCCGCTATGTATCAGGCCATGCATGTCTGAAGCAAAAACTGCAGAAGTTTAATGATATACTTATTTGCAATTTAATGAGGGATACAAAAAAATATCGGGATATTTTTTCGTGTGTCTCCACTTATCAGCAATTCTCTCTCTCTCTCTCTCTCTCTCTCTCTCTCTCTCTCTCTCTCTCTCTCTCTCTCTCTCTCTCTCTCTCTCTCTCTCTCTCTCTCTGAAGTCAAATTGGAATCAGTGATCACCCCCCCCCCCCAACGAAAAAATAAAATTCTAAAGGATGTACAACACACCTACCCCAAAAAATTCCTGTCGTTTAATTTTCGTTATTTTTGTATATTTAGTACATGACTATATCTACTGCAGGTATGCACATTTTGGACAAAATTGTTCGAGTGGTTTTTGGACAGGAACTTCCAAAAGTTACCCCCCTTTAGTTGTTTACAAGGAGAGAAAATTTTTAATCAATGAACTACTTAAACCTTGATTTTCAAAAAAGCCAGGTTAGATATAAATGTCAAATTTCATTGGCTTATTCCTTTATCCATTTAACACAAAAACATAGACATCTTTTTTATATAAATATCATCAAAATAATTTTTAAAGACTTTAAACTGAAAAACTATGAATTATCTTAGCCTTGAAAATTGCGTATTTTTCAAATTCAAAATTTTTTTGAGAAAAAACCTGTCGTTTAATTTTGGTAAAAAACTTTCTTTAGGTAGCTGGTAGTAAAAATAATCTTCACAATTTTTTGTATAATTTTTGTACGACCAGTTTTGATTTAATAGCGGAAAATTACCCCCTCCCCCTTTCTCAATAAATCACATTCCCGCGCGTCTTTCAGACCGGGGTCGATCACTTCGTTATATGAATCTACAAATACACATTAAAAAAATTAAATTGGAATACTGCTTTTGCTTCAAAAATATATTAACTTACAAATTTAAAAGTTCTCATATGTAAAGCGTATTTAAATGTAGATTTTTAGGCAATTTTTGAGTACCCCTATCACCCCCACCCCTTCCTTTTTTGCGTCGCAGACCATTAGCGTTTGACGAAACGTCGTTTACAGTGCAAATATACTGGTATTTCGTCATTTGAATCCCGGAGGTATGCATTAGTTTTTAAATTCATGAATGCAGAATAAATAAATATTGACTACTCTTTTTATATGTATCATGAAAAAATTACTGAAGGATTTTAGTGTTTAGTCCATATATGTATGCGTTATGCATTCCTATCACATGAAACCTGGATACGAATTCAAGTTTTGTTGAACTTGAACACGTCGATTTTTAATTTTATTTCTTTAATTTCATTCATTAAAAAATGGTGTATGTTCAAATCTCCTGTGATATAAATGGAATAATTGTAGTTTCTTTCATGTCATTATTTCAAACGAGACAGTATGTGGCCGTGGGGATACATCGACAGTTGCATAGATGTACACCCCTCATGATATTATACGCATTTCTTTCAATGTCGTCGCTTCTAAGGTTAAAATAAAAATTCCGTATTCGTCCACATTAACTTCAAAATATCAAACATTAAACTCTTCATCTATTTCAATTTATATCAAATCGCACTTTGATATTTTTCAAAATCTTATAGGCTACGTTTTGTTTTGATTCGAGGAAATGCGAACCGACATTGTTGACAGAAAGTCAAACGATTTGCTGCAATAGGATATTCATAAATGCAGATAATTTCAGTACAAGTGAACAATTCTTTTCAATTCTATACTTACATTGTTGTTATGAGGTCTATAGTATTCAATTCTCGGATTTATCAGGTCTTGCTGTAAATGTATCTGATTCTGTGGAAAACCGTGAATAAAGGGAGGAAAAAAACATCTCCTACATTTTCAGAGTTGTTCCTCTTTGATCAGTAAGGGTCAACATCGATTTTACATTGTAAAAAGTTTTTTTGTTTATTATTGTTGTTTTATCTAATTAAAGAAGAAAAACAATCTTTATATCGTAAATGCACAAATTAAAATAAAGATCATTAATCGGAATGTTATATAGAGCCAATTGTATACATAATGAGAATTTCGGCAATGTCAAATAAAATTTTCAGAATAAAAAAATGCTGCGCTTTGATCAAGAATACAATTTTATTATTGTATATGAAATGAAATGAAATAAACATTAAGGGATGGTATTTTATGTCTTGCTTTTTACGGAGTTTAATCGGGTTAATTAAAAAATACTTATTGATTGAGTATGGTACGCACAATCACAGCCAAGCCCCATATCCCAATTTTCTTTCATGATTGATATACATCGGGATCGTTTTACTCGTCGTTTTGACGCTTTATTTTTGACGTTAAATTTGACGTCACGTCAAACGTTCAATTGAAATCGCAAGAGTTATCTCCCCCAGTGTGTTGTACGTCTTTAAGTAGCCTTTATGTTACGACCCCCTGATTTCTTAAGGGAGTATCTCAAAAGTTGTTAAATTTTACTTTTGGACCCTAATTAAATTTGTTGGAAAAGCGCCAAATTATCACACATTTTTTCAATATTTTTTTTATTTCTGCCCTAGAGATTTCTTTTTCAGCCAAGTTGCAAAAAGTCACCAAATTGTGAAATTTCGAAAAAGTTTAGCATCTATAGGTTGCTCTAGGGACTCATTACAAAGTTTATTTTTTCGATGCCCAATTAATACAAGTACCTCTAAAATTGCCATATTGCGGTATAAATACATATCGGCGCAGATGTTTTTTTTGGTGAAAAAATAGTAATATTTAGATTTAATACTAGTATGTTTTTTTTGATGTTCTGTCATCAGTATTTAGAATAATATCCATGGAAGTCTTGAATACTCAAGCGAGTTATGCGTCATTCTGCAGCGTCATGCATTCTTAAGGGGGATGTACGGCCACCTTTAGTGCAGTGAGAACAAAATGTAAACATTTCTTCAAATGGCTAAAGTACATTATATTTTGATCAAATTTTAAACCCTTATGATAAAGATACAATAAATATGCATAACTGAATGCATGTTGTGCATATATAATCTATACTTTTGCAGAAAAATGCTTTTGATATGCTCCTTAGAACTGCGCAGCTACAGCATTCAGCAGAGCCTTAAAAAATCCAAAAAAATACGCAAACTGTGCATTAATGTTCTCTCTACAACCATTTGTTGAGAAAATGTCTAAATTTTGCACTTTTAAATGATAATTTTAAGTTCAAAACAAGTTATCGTTGTCTTCAAAAAGAGTGTAAAGAACCCTGAAAATAGTTCATTGATAGCAGCACGTGGTCTATTTTTAGCACAGAATTTTGTTTTCCAGACCTCTTTTTAATATGGAGGGACATAACAATCTTTAAATGTAGAAGAGGATTACAGTTGCAAAATATTTTAAATAATATAAACACTTTTAAAAGAGGAATTTTGTTATAGTGTGGCTTGAAGTAATTTATTTAGTATTATTTTAGAGCAGTTGTTAAATAGTGTACGTATTGAAATAAACTCTTTGATTCCAGGTAAGAAAAAATGATCATCATCAAAGTCTAAAATTAAGAGTTTGTAAGTTTGCCACGGATAACTTATAATATCTTTCAAAAGTTTAATTATCACCAATGAAACACAAAGAAATTAAACACATAAAATCGATATGAAAAACCTTGTGCTAGTATCAACTAGTACGAGGGGTGATCAAAAAGTTCTCGAACTATCTCTATATGTACAAAACCAC